GTACGCGACGCCCAATACGTCCGGTGCGATCGACGCCGCCGCCTCCGCCGCACGGTCTGCGCAGCGCGACGTGATGGCGACATGCCACCCGTCGTGGTGCAGCTGCTTGGCGATCGCGCGGCCAATGCCCCGGCTCCCGCCGGTCACGAGCGCCAGACGTCGGGCCATCGGTCGTGTCAAGCCGTGGAGTGCGCGCAAGTGCGATACGCACTTAACAGATTGGGTGGTACTTGAAGCAGGGGCGTCCAACTAAGTGCGATGTGGGACATGGGTGGGGGCAGCTGGTGCGCGAAATTGCATGCGTTCGCATACAAATCTGCCTAGATCTGAACGCACCAGCTGGTTTTTAATAATATTTCGCGCTGCGAGCGACAGCGTTACCTCGCGCCGGCGAATTTAATATGGAACCGCAGAAAATATGCCATCTCGTCCCAGAGCTGGAAGCCGCCACCAGTTTCGTTCCCACACTGGTCTACCTTTAAAATGCCTATTTCACTGTATCTTTGGACCCTGCATTGGATATTTTGCCATTTTATTGTAATAAATACAAATATGGAGTTGAAAGGGACGGAAATAGAATAAAGATATGCAATTCAATGGCTGACCTATCTGGTGGGCGGTGTTTGCAAAGCGTCGGCGGCTATCGATGGAAATGCATATGAAGCATACAATGATCTAGTGTAAAGGGTATTTCGGCACAAGTATATAATCTACTAGCAATTTGTATACATGGGAGAGAATTATATGCATTCTTGTCGCGGACCTATCTGGCGGAGCTTTTTTCAGACGTTGGCTTGGCACCTGTGAAACTCGACTTCAACGCTTTCTCCAAAACTCAAGTCGCATCTTCCAGCGTCTACCTCGCACCTCGGTCCATCTTCCTATCTCGTCCTCGCTTCATCATGCCCTACGAGAGCTTTGCCGGCGGCGCTGCGAAGCGCGTCTTCGCCATCCTGAATGTGACCCTCGACGTCGACCAAGATGCGTATGTGTACGAGGTCCAGATCTCGATGCCCGTGTACCTCCCCGAGAGCGACGTCAAGTACCATGTCTACTCGGTGCTGCGCCGCTTCAACGACTTCAAGCGGCTCTACGAAGGCGTCGGCGACGTCGACGGGCTCAAGCTGCCCGAGTACGGCCTCTGGAGCGTCCTCCGCGCCGACGACGCTGCGTTCCTCGCGCAGCGCAAGCTCGGGCTCGAGACGATGCTCAAGACGATCGAAGAGAACGCGACCGCGAGCCGATCCGGTGCGTTTGCCGAGTTTCTCGCGTCGCCTCAAATGAAGCTCAACGGCGACGTGTCCTTCCAGCAGCTGACGACGACCGAGGACGCGACCAAGAGCCGAGCCAACTCGGCCGACCGGTCCTCGAACGCGACGCTCGTCGCCGACGACGAAGCCACGTCGGCTGACCCGTAGTCACCTTCTTATCTTCCTCTTCCTCCTCCTCTACCTGACCATGCTGCTAATTTATAACGACGACGACCCGATATCCGATGCATCAATCAACCATTATGTTGGTCCCATATACCTCACTCGGACGAGGGCTCATGGACAGACCACACGGGCGCGTTCAGCCCGAGCGTTTGCCAAGGTTGGTCATACAGCGCTCGGATCCGCGCTTCGATGCGCTTCTTTGTTCTACATGCCGCAGGTTCCATCAGCATCATCATCGGTCTCGTCGACGAGGCAGAACGTACGCGTCGGTGAGCTGGCGAGGCAGCACCGAATGCGCGCGGCCGGTACCGTCCGTTGCTTGCAGGAGGCCCTCGGCCACAAAGCGCCAGTTGGCACACGGCATGCCCTTGTACATGGTCCTACAGGTCCATGCAGATGCCAATGAGGCGGATATGTGCATGCAGCTGGCAGTACCAAGACGACGACGAGAAATGCTGCTCGTTGCCTTGGAGTGCCATCGCGTTGCGGGTCAGAAGCGACTCGAGCATCTTGTCGAGGAAGACATTCGACTGCCGCGTTAGGTATCCGAGATGCGACGTCGTCGTCGGCGTCGGCTGGAGCCCATGGTGGCGGCAGCGGTCGGTCACAATCTCACAGAGCGGCCGCGGTAGCGCGGGCAAGGCCGTCAGTGTCGGCTCAACCGCCGTCTCCGTGTCCGAGTCGCTGTCCAGGTCCAAATCCAGTTGAATCGTACTGGCGTCTTGCTCGAATCTATAGAGTAGACCGATCATAAGACCAAGGTCCCAGGCAAGGCGAGGCCAACTCGGTCGAAAGCACATTCTTGGGGTTCACGGGCCACACGAACGTGCTATGTGCCATATAGGACCGTATGAGAAGGCGGGCGATTGCAGAGACGGTCGAGTGTACGAAGCGAGCTCGTCCTGCTCTTTAAGCGGTGCGCGCGTCGGTGGGCCGGACGGGGGCACGCCATAGTGAATGTGATGGAGCTCGGGCGCAGACACGTGCGACGCGAGGCAGCGGGCAATGCCCCAAGCTCGCTCGACGTCGGTTTGACGGTCGACCAACTAGTTAGTAGAAACGTAGTCGTAGAGTTGGTAGAGATAGAGAGGATGGAGATGATGGTACGGTACCGCCTTTTGCGGCGGCACGTTGTCGTCCAAGAGAAAGTCGTCCTCCGTCGCGTTGAGATCGACCGGCAGCGCGGCCTCGAGATGGTCGAACGTTGCAGAAGGATGGGCCTCGACCTCGAGGACGGTGGCATCAGGATCCTCGACCTCCAGTACGGTGGCATCGGGATCCTCGACCTCCAGTACGGTGGCGTCAGGGTCGTCGACCTCGAGCTGCGTCGCGTCATGCTCTACGTCCGATTGTGTTGCGTCGACGTCCAAGAGCATGGACGCTCCTTCAGCGCTCGAGAGCTCGTCGTCGTCATCGTCGTCCGACTGGTTGATGTCGTCGGCCGGCGGAATGCACTCGTCGTCGGACGCGTCGCTGGCCTAGATGCTGGCATGGGCCATGGAAAAGCATGTGGCTGCAACGTACTGCGTCATGCGCGCGCTTGGATGGACGCGCGCCGTCGTTCGCCTACGTCCATGCGTGAGCTCCGTGGCATCGCTCGCCATGCGTACGTCCAGCAGCCGCTTTCGTGTCCGGCCCATGCGAGCTCGTGCTTCCTTGGTCGGGAATACGTTCGATGCGACGATGCCATTGGCTATTATCAAGCGCTGAATTTGAAAGGCGCCAATCAGACGTCACAAAAATACACTTGCTAGCAGCATAGATCCATGGTATAGATAGATCCTGGTAGACGTGCTGCTACGAGGCGAACGCAGCCATTGCAGTCATAGGAGGGCACTGTACGTGGCCGCGTTCAGTAAGGCTGCTGCCTCCTTGCTCAAGGAGAAGAAAAAGATGGCCTGATGTGACATGTCGCTACAATCCGGATAACAGGAAACGGACCAATGACAGCGAAGAACCAAAGTGCAATTCCCAAACCAACAAGTTGACTGACGATCGCCCAGAAGCGATCTTCTGGCACCGACGACACGAGCCATATGGGAGCCACCGAGTGCATCGATGTGGGGGCCTTGCCAGAGGCGGTCGAAGAGCTTTGCCGCCCGTACTTGGCCGCAGCAGCACCCGAGTTGTGCCAACTCCAGTACCGACTTCTGGTCACAAATCTGGGTGCGACACCAAAGCACTGGCGCATCGCACCAGAATTCACCTGCCCCCGTACAGTTTGTATTCCTCCCATCCGTCGATGGCACTGCCATGCATTCCATCACATCCGAGTCCAGACTTGGTTCTTATTCTCACAACAGAAATGTTGAGGCTGCGGACGCTATGCGCTGCGTCACGCCGACAGCTTCTGGCGCTTCGCTGCTGGCATCGCCGCCTCGTCACCTTGGTCATGCGACGTCATTTGGCGCGTGTCGTGCTCGTCACCCAGCAGCATCACCAGCGTCCGTGTTCGCTGCCGTCGCTCTACCTCGTGGTGGCGCGTCTCGAGGACCATAGCGTGACGCTTTACGAACGTTGCGACGCGAACATTGCGGTACGTTGCATGATGATCGATGCTGCATGACAGGCGCATCGCAAGCAGTTGCGCCATCGCCGCAAGCTTGTCGCACAGGGTCGTCGTCGGCTCGGCGTACCACGCAAGGACCCACTGGGTGCGTGTCGACGACCGCAAAAAGGCTTCGAAACGTCGGCAGTCGCGGCAGCACGGCTCCAAGACCACGTCCGAGATGGCCATATCCGACGCCAACAGCGGCAGCTCGTCCTCTGTTTTGTACGTGGGAAGCACGGGGAGCATCGCCGAGGCCAGCGTTTTTTGACCACGCAGCGACAAGCCGATCGCTGCGGCGTCTTGGAGCAGCGGCCACACAAAGGCCTCGTGCAGCGCCATCACATCGCCGACGGCCTTGAGAATCGCTGCTAGGAACACGTCGAAAGTCGAGGTCGCTGCCGACGACGATGTATGCTGCGCCAACAAAAGAACGCGGGCCGTCGATTTCGCCATGGCGCGCCACGACGCCGTCGCCTTCGCAAGGTTGTTTTGAATCGCCTCTAGCGTCGTCGTTGTCACGACGGCGAGGACGCTCGTCTCGAGGCCAACAAGAACGTCTTCTTCCAGCGCGGCCAAAAACCCAGCGATCGCATCGAGGGCCAACGCACCCCAGAGGGTCACGAGGGCTTGCAGCATCGGTGCGTCCAACGCGTGGATCGAGTGCAGCACGCGCAAGACGCGGGTCGCATCAGGTACCGTCACGAGGTTGCTTGGCGTGGCTTCCATCAGAGTGACGTGGACCGTGGCGAGCAAAAGCGTCTCGCACCACAAAAGGCGGTCTGGCAAGAGCGTGTCAAGTGCCGGTGCGAGCACGGTCTGCGGATGGAAGAGCGCCGGCTGCGACTGCACCAGCGTCTGCAACCGATGTTTCTCATCGTTGACATAGGCGGCAAGGCGACTGCCGTCGCAGATAATCGCTGCCAAGGACGCGCGCGTGCTGTTGGTAGCACTGCGCTTCGTCACACTGAGGTCCATCAGAACAGCGTAGGCCGACACGATCGAGGCGCGGGCGCCGGGAATCGACAGCGGCGGGCACAGCGGCGCGACCGAGACGCCGGCAAAGCTCGCAAGCAGCTGACAGCCGACAGCGAGGCTGCTCCAGCGCGTCGTCCACCAGCGCAAGACGTACTCGAGCAGCGGGAAGAGCGCGTACGTGCCAAAGCGCTGGATGGTCGCATGCATGCTCGGCGCCATCAACGCCAAGTGCGTTGGCGCGACAAAGAACTCCAGCGGCTCCCAGAGCGTCTCAACGAGACGCACGTCGCCAACGGCAAGGACGAGATGCCCCAGCGCCGCCGTGCACGCCCACGTCTCGGCGCTGCTATTGTATCGTGCAGGGCTCTGGCGCTCTCGGGCTGTCTGTTCCAAGTAGCCGAGCATGTGGTCGACGAGGCAGCGTCGCGTCGAGATCGTCGCCGACGTCGTTGCAAAGACATCGAGTGCGGTTTTGAGCCCAAGCACGTACGGACGGTGGGCCTTGTGCCAAAACACAAGGCTTGTGCGCCGATGGTCGCCGGAGCGGCGCAAATCGCCGACGTTGACCGTGTGCAGAAAGGCCGGCACCGCCTGCCCTCGCAGTGCCAGCGCGCACTCACTGGGTAGTCTCGAGTCCGGGTGCATGGTCGCACGCGCAATGACAAAGGGAGCGTCGCCGTTGTTCAAGCCGGACGGGTCGTCGTCGTCGGTGTAGTGCACGATCGCCACGTCGTACAACTCGGACGCGATGAGTGCGTGGGCGAATGCTCGGTCGCGGCTGCCGCTTGGGAGGTCCTGAAAGGTCGTAAAGCTAAACTGGGGCGGACGCCGTAGCCGAGGAGTGGGTACGTTCTCGGTGGCTTGGCGCCAACGGCAACGAGCGCAGCGATCGCCGCGTGCACGCCCTCGGAGATGGGCGAGGATGGCGCGGTTGCACCGACGAGATCAAAGACGGCGACGACGGCATGGCCGGCTGAGATCGGTGCCATCGCGATCGTTGCTGCGCGGTGCGCGACGACGATGGCAAAGGTGCTGCTAAGGCAGTCGCTGTGGCCGGACGTGGTCGTCGCTGCTTCAAACGCCACCGAAAGGGCGCCGCCTTCCACGTAGCTCGGAAAGGTCAAGAGAAGCGTCCCGACGCTGGCAGGAGCTCGCGCGATGGGCTCGAGGCGCGCTGTCGTAGATGCAGGACCATGGATCATGACATGGGAAAGGACGGGCGTGACCGGCGCGCTGCCCCACACAAAGTGATCGCGCAACGTGGCGTCGAGGAAGCAAGGGAGCGCGCTGGCCCACGCTGTCGGAGGCGCCAGATCATCTCGGGCGTCGAGTTGCAGCATCGTCGTGGGCACGATGCCCGATGGATGCAGGCCAAGGATGTCGTCGACGACCCGCGTGTCTTGCGACCACTTGCGGCTACTGGTGAAGCCGAGGACCGAGAGGCTCGGCGCCATCGCGTCGTCCAAGCCGCCGACGTATGCATACTCGTACGTAGCACAAGCGTCGCGCGGGAGGCAGTCGAGCGCGTCTTCGTACGGCGCCTTGGCCACGTCGATCGGCGCGCAGTCGAGGTCGCCCATGCTGCCACGTCGTGCCCAACGCTGGAATGGCGAGACTGGGTGCCCGTGGATTGGCCAAAATTCCGACGGTGGCAGAATGTAGGTCGCTTCCCGCCGATACGGCGCGGGAAAAAGGAAGGTCTGGACGATATTGATACCATCCGAGCTTAGGACGCTAGTACACGCTATATAGCTATATAGAGCTTTGAACGAACGTATACATTGTCCTATCGCACCAGGTACTACAGTCGCATGGCTCCTCCACGGCGCACAAAGCGCTGGAGACGTCATCCGGATACGATGCGAACGCCAAGTTCGCGATCTTTCCGGATACAGCGATAAGAGATTGGGTATAATTTCCTCCTGCACCTCATGTTCGCTTGATTTGCCACCTTTGCGATACTAGACTTAGCGTAACGAGGGTGTAGAGCAGACAATATTGTTCAATATAGCATGGATTACACTTGTACGTAGCTTCCACTTGGCAATTGACGTCGAGTCGTCTCTACCGAGGGCCACCACAAAGTTAACTTTAGTTGAAGAGTCTATCGCGTCCCCTTGCCAGCGTCCGTCAGTCGCATCTCCTCGGGCAGTGTGATCAGACGAATAACCACCACTGTCGCTGCGGGTACTCTTGTAGGCTTGGTTGACCTTCGTTGCGGATGCAGCAGCTCGAAGCGTGGGTTGATGGCGTTGGCACTGGAAAGGGGCGACGAGAGGCGCTTCAACTAAAGTTTACGTTGTGGTGGCCCTGGATAGAGTCGCGCGCATGCGTCTGTGCTCGCAGATGCAAATGTGATTTCGGTGACCAGTGATGGATCTCCAGTCTGGATCCATCGCGCGTTCTAGATTTTCGAACGACAGGTCGTGCCGGATATCGGCGCCACGACCGTGTTATAACCGGACACCAAGATCACGCGCCACAACTTGCGGGTCCATCAACCTTGAACATGCCAGCGCTCATACACTGCGACGCTCAAGATGGGGAAGAAGTCCGAGGTAAAAGCTCAAGCGTTGAGACTCTACCGTCAATACCGCCTCTGCAGGAAGTGAAAGGCACTCGGTAGCCGCCCGAACAACTTTAGAAGCATGCACACCGGGTTGTCTACCGTCATCTCCTAGTCAAAATGCTGGATCGCTTCTTGTCATGACAACATTGGTGCAAGTCGCAGCAGAGCAATGCAATAATGGTAGAGGTCATAGAAAAAGAGTGTAAGTGGGGGGTCCTCCCAGAGGGAGGTCAGAAATTGGTGAAGCCGCATTGTTTGTAAGACGTCCACGGTAATCTTTAGTAAAAGGCGAAAGATTAGTACGAGTAAACGCTTTACTGCGGGATACTTCATTTAACATGAAAAGTACCGTTGCTGCAAACGTAAACCGAAATTCCGGATATGCGCTCCCCACGTGACCATTTTCTTGAGCAGCGATTCCCATTTCTGCAAAAACGGAGTGTTGGACCCAACAAAACGGGAATTCCCTTGTCAACACTGACACAACAAGATTCAACCAATGTGATCGGGAAATACTCAACGTCCAATGTACTACGCACCAGATCGATGCGATAACCAGATAGCCAGCCAGCAATATTGTCATTATGCACTTGGCGGTATCGCCTCGAAGCTACCCCGAGAGCTAATGAAATCGTCTCTTGCCCCGCCCGAGCTTCTCTACATATACTAGTACTGTGTTTGCAGAGCGGAAGAAGCGGCTCCGAGTCCCTTGCGTATAGACGCTCATTGCCATACGCGAGCTCGGCGTCCATATACAACCATCACTGGCTGCCTTGCAGGTTGCTCATCCTCGTTCGAGTCACCATACCACACTCGCACATATAATAATGTGCAAATTACAACAAAAATCCATCCCCCTTTTTCTTTCCTCGACAAATAGAATGCAGTCAACCACCATGTGAACACGCAACTTGGTACTTGATGTCGGGCAAGGGTCGACCAAAGTGCCATTCGTACATGGGCGTTTTGGCCGCATGTAGCTGGCGGCGCGTCGCATGGGCCATCAACGCCTCGGCGCTCGCCAGTGTGCGCACCACCAGTCGCAGCGTCGTGCCGCATCCAATCGCACTCACCAAGGCCCGTAACGCCGCCATCGGCAGCGCGCTTGCATACAATTCCAGCGTCGCCGACTTGGTCGTTGAGATCTTGTACATGGCCGCGGTGAAGCCAGCGGCGACCGCTGCGTCCTGCACGCTCATGGCCAGCGCTTGCCCGGCGCGACCAAAGAACGCCGGCAGCGCCGTCGTCAGCGCCAGAAAGGGACTCGTCGCGTCGTCGTGTGGATCGTGGTAGCAGTTGTCCAACGTGACGGACACGAGGCATTGGGATGTGACCATAAGGCTTGCAATCGCCATGATCGCTCGTCGCGAGAGCCGCATGGACGACAAGTGCAGGCGACGCAACGACGTCAGTGGCGCGAAATCGTCGAGTACGCCGTGCAGAAGTGTCAAGGACTGCAAGGTCGGCGCATTCCCGAGTGCGGTCACGGCACGTGTGAGGTTGCAGAGCGCGACGGTCCGTATGTCGAGCGTACGCACGTGCGACGTCTGCAGCTTGAGGGCCACGGCGGTAATGTCGTTGGCGGCGTGGTAGTCGACGGCGGTAAGGTGGAGGCAAGTGAGCTGTGGTGGAAATAAGGGTCGGCTTACGGCGCCAAGCGCGCGGAGCAGCGGCGGCATTTCGTGCACGTTGAGCGTCGCCATCGTCGACGATGACAGCAGTGCATCACCGAGAAGCGTCGCCGCCTCGGTTGTAAGTGGCAGGCCCGTGAGATGCACGTTCTCGAGGCTGGATTGCGTCACCAAGTACTCTGCAAACCACGAGATGTCCATCGTGGCGTGCCGGCTCGTCTCGGACCCGCGCCAGACAAAGTACGTGAGCGACTGCAGCCGCGGGCAGAGCGCGAGCGTGCGGCGAAGATGCGGCCACGTCGCGCATGTCGGGTCGGTCACCGAGAGCGATGTGATCTGCGGCGCCCAGAGCCCGTACGCCGCTTCAAACTCGCGCAAGTCGCCGACCAGCGCTGAGACGGTCG